CACTAATATATATATATATATATATATATATATATATATATATATATATATACATATATTTGCACTAATATAGCACTAATATACATACATTTGTAAATCTACACTGTTTTGCATCGTAAGTAAATTTTTCTTGATTTAAGGATGAATAAATAAATTCAATTTATTGCTAAACAAGACTTTTTTGTGCAGCTCAGTGTTACTCTTTTTACTGCATCGGATTATGATTAATATTACAATAATATATATATATATATATATATATATATATACATTAAGAAAGCTTTAATAAATATTTAAGATTTTTTTCTGAAATATAATATAGAAAAATAATTTACAATTAAATGTAAATTAAATTTACTGGTAAACAAGTTTTTTTTTAAACCAGTGTAGCTCTAACTAATAACTAATTTTTATTGCATTTGACTATGATTAATATTACTAAATTAGCACGTCAAACTGACAGTACTAAAATGATCATATATATTACTATTCATATATTCAAATAAGTCCTCCTTCAATAGTTTCACCCTGAGAAAACATCTAGGGCCACTTAACATGGGCCGCTTGTTTAAGCAGTGCAAATACTGCGCTCTGTAGTCAAGCTGTCTGCTTGTTTAGGTCCTCTACACTTCCGCCCATCCATTCAGAGTGAAAAGGCCAACTATCCAACCCACTCAGGACACACTCGCTCACTCTCTCTTTTCCCCTCTCTCAGTTACTGATGGGAAGGAAATGAGAGGTGAGAGAGATAAAGAATGGACACATCCTGAGAGGCTTCAGCATTAGTGACAAAATATCAGCGCCGGTCCTGTAAACGGTGTGTTTTAAGGCCGGTTCTGATTCTGTGTGTGGGTGAGAGCATCCATCCCATCCTTCATCGAGGTCACACACGGTTCTGATGAGATACCAGAGCCTGCGGTGGCACACTCCCATTGGCTCAAATCAAACTCCCAACACCTGCTGAGCCTCGTGGATTAACCCCGCTCCGTCGCCATGACAATGGTACTCCACACTAATGGGTACGATCCATTACAGCGGTGCGACAACTGGCTGCTATTCCCTGCCAGAACTAGCTTGTGGAATGAGCTAGCCTTGCCGTCGACGCGGGCAAATAGAGTGATGACTCTCATTCACCCGAACACTGCAGACTCACAAACACACACGGACACAGAAGGGGCCGCTCTCATTTTCATGTTCTCTGGCTGTGGCGCTCTGCTGCGTTTGTAAGGATTCATTAACACAAGGGATTGTTTGCGCTTGCTTGCAAATTCGATAGCAGCTAATGATTGTGGAGGTACAGTATACAAAGCACTTACCAACATCTGATGCTTTGTGAGTCTTTACAATTTCTGCCAGGTCAAAGTTTCCAGCTATAATAGCCACCTACAGAGAGAAAGAAAAATGGGTTATTTTTCTGCCAAACGTCCCTGGGCAAACAAAAACCCTAGTTACAGATTTATAACACTGCATGAAATACATAAAAGGATGTTATCCCTAGTAAAAAAGTAATATATTTAAAACACATTTATTTCATAATAAGTATAGTATCTATTAACATGTTTACTGACATATAACGTTCGAGACTTACTGATATAAAAATTATAATTAAACTTTATTTGGAGTACTACTTATGCACAATGCGCATTTCTTAATATTAAGCCTAAACTGTGTTTTAATATCACTACTAATGAGGATTATATGATATTTTAATAATATCGGTCTTTAAATGCAGGATGTTTAAAGTGGACTTGAAGTATACTTGCAGTAGTTCCGCTTTAACACAATCAAATACTTCAGTATAGCTGGACTTCAGCACTACTTCCACACAATTAACATGCATTAAGCACAAAATTAGTTGTTCCAGTTTAGCAGACTTTAACTGTACCAGTTTAGTATACTAAAAGTACAATTGCAGGGTATTTTTATTAAGCACATATTTAAATGTATTTGTAGTATACTTCTTACATACTAACATTAAATACTATTTGAAATACATTTTAGTATATTTATTTTTATTTTTCACTAGAGATGAAACCCACCCCCACCCACCAAGTCAGCAATTCATAATGCATTCTGATTGTACATTATTCTGTCTACAAATAAATAAATAAATGGACATGAAATACTGATTATATAGCTGACTGTCAGAATATGGAGTGAAACTATGCACTAGGGCTGGCTATGACAATATTGTGTAATTCATTTTAATCTCCATCTTGATAAACCGATATAAATTCTTACAGTAAATCCCAAGATCAATGTTTTAGTCTATTTAGGCTATTTTCTGTTGATGCATCAACTAAACTTCACTAAATATTATTTGTAGCTCGCCTCCAACAATCGCAATAAGCATTGTACTTTGTTCCTTTTAATATGAAACAAAGTCTCAGCTTACACATTCTGTCAGTTTCGTCACGAAATTCAAATAATGAATACCGTTTTGGCGTTCTTTAGTGTGGCGTAACAGACGGCTGTAAGTAGCAATGCTTTATTATTGAATGTTTAAAATCTGTCATAAAAAGAAGTTATGACAGCCACCGTTTAAATTTTTATATTTCAACCACGAATTAAGAGTCAAATAGAAACAGTTATATTATTAAATGTTCATTTAAAAACTAATGTGCAATTTAAATGTTTGTATACCACGTTTTTATTTCAGTGTTAAACATTATATCTAAAAATAAATAGCAATTAAATCTGGACTCTGTATCAACTGACAGTGTTCCTTGTATAATTTACAGCTTTACTTAAAAAATTGCTTTCCTTAAGAAAAACTGACATGTACCGTACCTGATGTACATTCAAACAAATCGATATCGAATCAGATCGATGCAAAAACTTGTGAATCGGATTTAAGCAGATTTGTGAAATGTGTCAATAACCAGGCCCTACAAAGTAATATCATCGTAGGCCTATTACACTCAAATTTACATGCTACACCATTATACTATGGCAATTTTTTTATACGTATATGGTGAACAAACAGGTCTCAAATAAGGACCAAAGACCAATAACTCATGTGATCCTGTCTAATATGATACTCTCTCTCTCTCTTTTATGAATGTGAGGGCTAATTAACTTTTCCTCACTAAAAGCTGAATCAAAGCAGCTGTCTAATGGTTTCCGTGTTGGTTTATGCAGCCGCACCAAGTCAGGTTCCCCCTCCCCTTGTACTAACAAATTAACTTTGATCCGAGCTGAAAATCTGTGTCAACATCAATTGTACTGTGAGTTCAAGCACCGAGCATCATGGAATAGAAGCAGACAAACACCAATCCCAATATGCTGTTAGTATGTTCACAGGAAGCATTACATTGTACATTTGGACCAGAAGGGCACGAGTGAATCATTTGACTTGTCATGTTAACATGCCGCTTACACTGACCAAATGTTAACATGGTTAATACACAGATCCAGCAAAACCAAACAACTAATGGAATATGGTGTTTGTAGGGGCAGTGTGAACTTGACAGATTGAAAAATTGGAGCATATTTCAATATTTGTTAAAAAGGTTGAACTCTGTAAGTTTAAAAAAAAAGATTTTAATAATACTGTCTTTCAGCAAGGATGCATTAAGTTAACGTGACAGTACAGATATTTAGAAAGATTTCTATTTCAAGTTTCTTAAGCAGCAAATCAGCATATTAGAATGATTTCTGAAGGAAATTCTGTGACCCTGAATTCTGGAGTAATGATGCTGAAAAGCCAGCTTTGCATCACAGGAATAATAGAATAATAGAATTTAGACAGTGGCATGATGGTAACACCATAGCAAATTTAACAAAAAAGTACCAAAAAGTTAGGCCTGGGCGATAAAACGGTATCGATATTTATCGACGGTACACCTTCTTCGATAACGATAGAAACATTTTTCGATATAGCGCACGATATAGGCACGTGCTATGAGTGATGCAGACAGCACACACAAACACGAACACATGCTGGAATGAGTGCTGTGCCTGCCTGTGATGAGGAGATTGTGAATAAAGAATGAATATTAGTCGAATTTAAAATAAACATTTGCATTTGAATGTTAGGTGTTAGGGAGTGTCATCAGTGGCGCACGAGATGCGGTGATGATGTAAGTGACGTTTTAAAAACATTTTAATATTTTGTTAGTCTAGCCCACGAGACGAGCCGCTTCTGCGTTATTCATTCAAAATATTAGAGAAATATATAAACTAAATGCAGAGAAGATCTTGAATGGGTTAAAACCGAAACCAAGCCATTCACACAGAACGCATATTCAGCGCATTTTTTAGACGGACAAATATGACTGCTGCACTCGCGTCTCACACAAGAGATGTATAAAAAGCCATGCAAAGTTAAAACAGTTTAAACATTTAGAAAACACGTTGCGAATTTGTGGAGGTTTATTCCTTTTCACTGCGTCTCATATGTTTTTAAATGCAATCTGTGTGAATGACGCTTCGGCTCTTTGGATTAAGCAATGCATAAATACATGATGCTGTTTTGTTCATAATTGTTTATGCAATTTACGAAATTATATTTGATTTTTCTGAGTTAATTTAGACGTAATGCACGTTTTTTTTTATAGAGTTATTTCCTTGCGTTGACAATTTAAATGCGCTGCATTATTTTGCTCATTGCGCCCTCCTGTGGCCTCGGGAGACAAGACAAAAGTTTCCTTAAGACCTATTTAATCTGCATATAAAACTAGATTTAGAAATTAGATTTTTTATTTTTATTTTCGGTTTGATTGTTAAAACTAAAAATATTTGTTGTTTGTCTCAATGAATTGGGTTAATTTAAAAATACAGTGGTTAAATAAAAAAAAAATTCTATTGCTCTTTGTTTTAAAAAGGTTATAAAAAATGTCAATAATTATCGATACCGAACGATATGAAACATTATATCGTTGATACATTTTTTAGCTATATCGCCCAGCCCTACAAAAAGTGCAAATCTCTCTCTCTTTTTTTTAACATGGTACCATAGCAATACCACACTTTGAAATATAGTACCACTGTATATATCAACTTTTAGATTGATGTACCATTTTATACCATCACCTTTTCATTGTACTATTGATTAAATATGTTTATATTTTCTATCAACATTTCCCATGACACTGTCCACCATCTTTAATTAAAATGTTCTTTTTGCAAAAGTGCTAAGCTAAATTTTGGTCAAATGAAGGTGTCTCATTTGGCAGCATACCAGCCTTTTCATCAGAAGTGCCTTCAAATGCTATCTAGGTAGACATTTTCATGTCCAGTGTGAATTCTCAAGTCGCAGCTCTGAAACTGCTCTTGGGCTAAAGATAAATACAGTTTGGCTCTGTGGGCAGTGAACGACAGCACCAGTTTAAATAAGACCCAGCTCCATTGACTCTTCTACGGTGTTTGATCTCCAGGAACCCAGAGGTCTTGCGCTCTCACCTGGAAGGCAGTTTGGCTGTTGTAGTTCTTAATCTCCTTATTCGCCCCTCTGAACAGCAGCACTCTCGCGCAGCTATCCTGGAGAGAGACAAACAAGAGAGATTACAAGCGTCGTGATAATTTGTCGCTAGTAAAACTCGTACATTGCATGTCCATGAAAATGAGTGTGTTTGTGTGCGCGCGTGTCGCTTTCACAACAACAGAAATGACAAAACTGATGTTCCACTGGGACCAATTAGCTCACCAGCTCATATGTAGGTCTGCTATCAGAGAGTAAAACAGAGAGAGAGCTACTTTAATGGCAGTATTTCTCTATGGGCATCCGAGACAGAGTGTTTAGAAGGTCAGCACAGCATCTGGCTATCATTCCTCTCTCTCTCTTTCTCTGTAGACAGTTTTGATAGTCCACGCACACATTTAGGAGCTGTACCACGCAGACATGACTCAGCTGGGATTGGTGTCCTAGTTTCCTAACAGTGGTGAGTAAACATCACAACGTCTCTTGGCCCACTAACACACCTTCAATGGAACCTTAATTACACTTGTAGTGCGCTTCCTGTCTGTCTCTCTCTCGAACACACAAATCAGAAGTGTCTCTGGTAAAGACACTTCTTATAACTATTTTATTTTTTACAGATACCGTTCAAATGTGTGGGGACATTAAGATTTTTGTGTTTGTTTTTTGAAAGAAATGAACACTCTTATACAGCAAGGATGCATTCAATTCATCAAAAGTAAAGACATTTATAATGTTGCCAAAAATCTATTTCAAATAAATGCTATTCTTTTTTTCTGATTTTCATTTTCATTTTTATTTCCACAAAAGTAATGAGCAGCACTGCCATTTTCAACATTGATAATAATAAGGAAAGTTTCTTGGGCATCAAATCAGCATATTAGAATGATTTCTGAAGGATCACAATAAGGAGTCATGGCTGCTAATATTCAGCTTAAACATTACAATATTTAAAAATATATACAAATAGAAACTGTAATTTTAAATTGTAATAATATTTCATAATATTACTGTTTTTACCGTATTTTTGATCAAATAAATGCAACCTTGGTGAGCATAAGAAACTCTTTCAGAAACATTTCAAAATTATACTAATACGTTTTGAACAAAAGTGGAGCTGAAATTGACTGGTGATGGAAGGTCAAGTTGAGTGCATTGCATTGTGGGATATAGTAACTCACACAGGGTTGAAATTGAAATACTAGTTTACTACAGAACACTGCACAGTGTAAGATGTATACTGGCAATTGTTTAAACATAACAAGTGAAATACTATTATAAAATACAAAGTACATGAATACTTGAAATATTAATGTTTCAAATAGTTGCAAGCTACATAACTATTATCATATGAAATATTTTGTATTTTCAGTCTAATTTTGTGAAAGACGTCTCAACTTATGTCAGTCGGATCAGATAATGAGTCAAGAAACAAACTGCATCTGGTACATACAGGTCAAGTCTTTGCATTGTGGAATACCCATGCATTCTATACAGCACATACTGCAAAAACAGCAGTATGTCAGTAGTATGATAGCATGCTATTCAGAACAAGGTCTGTCATACAGGAGACAGAGTGGAGCTCTGCATGTGTTTAATGTTACGGCTCTGTGCAAAAATCAATATGTAATTTCGACTGCAGAGTGAATTAACAGAACGATGATTGAGCGTCCACATCACACAGATTTTTTCCCCCTCTTTCTTTTTGTCTTTTGCTTTCTCCATACTTCTGCACTATTGATCCATTTAAAAGACACAAACACTCAGAACTGAAAAAATAATATGCCATACACACTAATGTAAAACAATAAATCAAAAGTCATCAGAGCAGCAGCGGTCTGGAGAAACAGTAGAATGAAAGCTCAAACTCTACTGAATGTGGCCTTTTATGCCAATGTGAAGTTTCAATGGACTGAATGTCTGCTGGGCAATAGAGCAACATGTGACCTCTAGTGGTGAAACTTTATAAGAACACAAAGAAGAAACTATACTGGACATCACTATTAGACTACTATTAGACTAGACTCACAGAGACAGATAGAATGAAGTCGCCATAAAGTCTGATTCGCTTTGCAGCTCATTTTGGCCATGAACTGTCCACTTAGACAGAACGAGGTCGTCAAAGGTCATCCACAGTGCCTTCTTATTATGAAATGTTTATTATGTATCTTTTTATGCATAACTGACAAATGTACATTTGATTAAGTTTGATTAGTTTATGTTAAAACTGTGTAATCTAAATGCATGGAAATGTTATATGCTATTAAGTAGCCCTGACCATAAAATATAAATTTTTGGACATTATTATTTAGATTTTTAAAGAGCCATTTTCATTTAGATTTAGCTTTAGACAGGTTTAACTAAATTCTATGATTTTTTATTATATTATAGTATATTATTTATTATTATATTATATAATAATTTTATTTATTTATTATTATAGTTTTTTTTGTTACACTTTATTTTAAGGTGCCCTTGTTACAGTCTAATTATACATTAAAATACTGAGTAATATTAATTAAGTAAATACTTAATATATGGTTAGGTTTAGGATTAGGGGTTACTTGAATGTAATTATGAATAATTTATCATTATTATAATAGTTATTACATGTAATGTGTAACAAGGACAAGTAAAATAAAGTGTTTTTTTTTTTTTTTTAAACTGGTCCTTAAAGTATGAATAGAAACACACATAAACTAACACAAACACACATTGCCTAAACATGCATGCAGAGTTGCAATTGAAGGATAATGATACATTTGATCATGGAGAGCGTGATGTAGGTGGCCCAACTGTAGCTTCTTCAGTTTTACTGTCTTCACTTTTGGACTTTTGGTATCCACAAAGCGAGCGAAACCTGACCTCCCACTCACAGACAAATCTCATCAACCTTCTGATTATCCATAGCTGTGAATTCACCCTTCTGTTCCACATCAGGTGGTCATCTCTTCTTTTCACCTCCTCCTGCTCTCCTCATCGTTTTGGCACTATTTCACACTCTCTCTGTCTCTTCTTCCATCATTGCCCTCGTAGATTTCCCCTCGTCTATCCAGTAATGCCTCTCTCCTCGGGGTAATACATCCTCTCTCAGAGTCTCTTTCTGGGAATCGATCCACTCTAACATCTCCTCTGAGCCTGAGCTAAACATCCGCAGAGTCCTTAAAACTCGCTATCGCCGCTATCACACACACACACACACACACACACACAACACACGCATTTACCTACTTCATGACAGATTTAGCAACTCCTGAGCATGCATTTTAAGAATTGTCTTTCAAGTACAACAAATTGACCTTAAAGTACAAAACTCACATGAACTCATACATGTGTTTGTCTTTGTTACCTACATGAAAACTTCACTTGTTCTTAAGTTAAGCTAATTATAATTATACACTTATAGGCTCTACTGAGGTCTGCACTTTAAACTGAAGCCCGAACCCGGCCTGTACCCGAGATCATCTGACCCGACCCGCCTACGTCTGCGCACCTCTCTCTAAAAGGAATGAGGCTTAGTTCCTTCAAAAACAGCGATTTTACCCCCTCATTGCAGAGAAATATAACATTGCAAGTCAGGTACCTGTCGAAGCTATATTACTAATAAAAGTTTCCGTGCTGTGTTGTCGTTATAATGTGTGTGCGTGCGTCTATGAAAGCAGCGTAGCCTACTGCATATAGTTTTAGTTTAGCTATAAACCCGAGACCGACCCGAACCCGAAGCTATTCATTAAACATTAACCCGAACTCGACCTCGACCCAAAACCCGAAAGTATTTCGGGACCCGTCGGGCTCGGGTCGGGTCTTCAGCAATGTTTACACTCTTGTTTTCGGGAGTCAGTCGCTAGTTCTGCCTTCTTGATGACATCACGCGCGTCGTTAAAGACGGCACACGATGAATGGTCGGAAAGCAACGTGTAGTCTGACATGTTTCTTGTCCATGACATGACAAGATTTTAGGAGTCAAAATCGTGTAATCTGACACAGTGACTATCGTGACCGACAAAAATATTGTGTAGTCTGAACCCGGCATTAAAGGTTTTTGCATCTAAATTCATTCATTTATTCTTTTTATGAGCTATTTTCTTTTTGAGAACCTCAACAAAGGGAGTTTTTGACAGATTTAGCAAAATTCTCAGAACACTGTATACAAAATTGGTCCTTTAGAATATGAATTGAAACAAACTTACAAACACATTTGCCTAGAAATACTGTATGAATGTGGACTTCAAAATGACTTATAAATCCCTCGTCTATCCAGTAATGCCTCTCTCCTCGGGGTAATACATCCTCTCTCAGAGTCTCTTTCTGGGAATCGATCCACTCTAACATCTCCTCTGAGCCTGAGCTAAACATCCGCAGAGAGTCCTTAAAACTCGCTATCACCGCTATCACACACACACACACACACACACACACACAACACACGCATTTACCTACTTCATGACAGATTTAGCAACTCCTGAGCATGCATTTTAAGAATTGTCTTTCAAGTACGACAAATTGACCTTAAAGTACAAAACTCACATAAACTCATACATGTGTTTGTCTTTGTTACCTACATGAAAACTTCACTTGTTCTTAAGTTAAGCTAATTATAATTATACACTTATAGGCTCTACTGAGGTCTGCACGGGCTTTAAACTGAAGCCCGAACCCGGCCTGTACCCGAGATCATCTGACCCGACCCGAGCGGCACAGTTAAATTTAGAGCCCGAACCCGAAATCTTTTTTTTCCCCCCACAAGGAATAGCCAATTTAAAAATGAGTTTGTGTATGAGATGTGACGACTGACACAAACATTTCTAGCCAAACTTGAAGAAATGAAGTTACAGAAACTAATTAGACATCAACAGTTCAATTATGATCTAAGATCTTTCTGTAATACTCAGAGTACTATTTTTATGTTTCAGAAGTGGAGGTCATTGCGTGGTGGTGTCCTCCTTTCTTCATGTTTTTGTTGTTTAGATGTTATTGATCTGTTTGTAACGGACTTCATCCAGACTGGATGTTACATTAGTGCAGGTCAGCTGTAGTTTAATCTCATTATAACGAGCTGAATGAAGATAAACAGAAACCACTGCTGTAAAATTAGTACTCTCTCTCTCTCTCACACACACACACACACACACACACACACACACACACACACACACACACACACACACACACACACACACACACACAAAAAAAATCTAGATAAAACATATATTAATTGTCTTGGTTTTTAAAACCTGCAGCAGAGAAAACCTTTACTTGGACTCAATAAGAGGCTTGACAAGATTAGGCCTCGAATGTGACAAAAGATTGTCTAATATTAATATAAAAAATTCAGCATGTTTGCTTAACATAGTGAACAATGTCTAATGGTGTTTTTCCATGCCAAGCAGAGCAAGAGCTTGCAGTTAACCTTAAAAAAGCACTGATCTACACACACACACACACACACACACACACACACACACACACTTACCAACAAAATTGAGACTTAAGATAGACTTTGAATGCTTTTATATAAAAGTAATTCTAATTAGCTAGCTCTAACGACAAACATAAAAGAAGGTTTTTGCGTACTAGAAAATATTATTTTCTAAATTTTTTATTTGAGTTTCCCATGAAGTATATCCCATAATTGTACTGTTTTTTTGTACAATTTAACAGAATTTTGTACAATTTAGCTCAATATTTGACACAATCTATATAGAACAAACACAAACATTTGGTCATACATGTTGCAAATAATCATAAAAATTCATACTTGTATTCAGAAAGGATGCATTACGTTGATCAATGGTGACAGTAAAAACATTTACATTGTTACAAATGATTTCTATTTAAAATAAATGCTGATTTTTTTTTAATAAATTCTAATTATCACAGTTTCCACAAAAATATTAAACAGCACAACTGTTTTCAATACTTATAATAATAAGAAATGTTTCTTAAGCAGAAAATCAGCATATCAGAATGATTTTTGAAGCATGAATGATGTGTGAAGGTTCGAAATTCAGCTTTGGCATCACAGGAAAAACTTACATTTTAAAATATATTGAAATAGAAAATTTACATTTTAAATGCTAATAATATTTCAAAACTTACTTTGAAATTACTATTTTTCATTAGTATTTCACCTATTACTATTTTTGATCAAATAATTGTAGCTTTGGTGACTTGATGAGCACAAGAGACTTCTTTCAAAATATTATTTTCATATTTAATGTCAAATGTTTTTTTTTTTAGAAAAAATACTATAAACTCTTATTTATTTACTCAAATTGTATTTATAGTACATACTATATATAGTATATGTATATATTGTAAAACTCTGTTTATATTTACAGTATTATACATCCTCAATCCAAAAAAACAAACAAACCGCAAAATAGCCAAAGTTCAGCCTATTAGTGTAACCAATATATCAGCTAGTCTCTATATTAGAGCAGGCAATTGAGATGTACAGTAAAAGCAGGTTCACAGACCATTCAATAGCAATAACAGTTTCAATAGTGAGTGTGAGAGAGAGAGAGAGAGAGAGAGAGAGAGAGAGAGA